AGCTTCGGGGGGGGGGGGGGGGAACTGGTTCTTCATTTTCATGTCTACTATCCAGAAATACTGTTTTTCTCTGGCTTAATTTGAGCTATTTTCAGATACAGTAATGAAAGAAAATTCTACATTTTTCCTGCCTTCCTATGTCACTATGTAAAATTCACTAAGTACTAGAAAGGTCCTGGAAGTTTAACCCTCTCCTTCATCCTTCTGTGATATTTATAAAACCATCTGCTAGTTCTGGGCATCTATTTATACTTCAGCAGAAAATAATAAGGTTTGGAGAGTTTTCTTAGATGGGATTTCCTTCCAGAAAGGACTGTCTCAAAATGAACGAGATCACCTACTGGGTTTGAAATGCTCTGGCCTTTTGGTAGGCCAGATATATATGTTATTCAAGGGTCTTCTAGGTCACTGACTCAGTCCCCATTAGAGGATATGCTAGTTGTTTAATAAAGCCCATTTTACACCCACCACAGACTATACGCAGGCTTGCATGCAGTACAGAAAAAAAATTCTTAGTTTTAACTGAACAAATAAGTTCACAAACAATAACCAGCAGATAAAAGTATCCCTCCTTACAAATCAAACAGGATGACTTACTTTGTTAGATGTCCAGTGAAAAGAAATTGCCAGCATTTTTCTCATCACTGCCCACGTCCACCAAGTATTGCTTTGTTAAAATGTTTCCACTAACTGGCATGAATAATAGTATGGCCAGTCTTCACTCAAGATTAAAGAAGAAAATAAAAATGTAAGTGAGTGTGTTGCCTTTCCCTAGAGACAAAGGCAAGTCACAGGACAGGAAGAATGACAGGGAAGCATCCTCTGAGTTATGCCACCCTGGAAATGAGGCTTTAGGACTGCCATGCTTCGCAAATTGCAGCCTTCATGAGGATGCCTGTTTTCCAAATGCCTCTTTCAACCACCACATTTTCAGCCTAACATTTGTCAAACCTCTTCTTTTGTTAAGAGTTAACTTGTCAGCTTTTAAAATGGCTTGCGGTTCCTAGCCACCCTCCTTGATGGAAATGTGAAAAGTGTGAGTTACTCCCTTTCACAAAGAATCTTGTCAAGGATCCTGACTCTAATCTGACTTCTCCTCCTAGGGGGAAAAAAAAATCTACCTTCTGGAAACTTAACAAGTGGTGACTATTCTATCATAATTCTGCTTCACAGAAATAAAAGAGGTCACACAAGGAGAAAACCACCACCCAATACAGAGTTAAGAGGTGACCAGATAGCTCAGCAACAGCCTGAAAATGGTAACCCACTCTACAGTTTGCTCCTCAACAACCCGAGCAAATGATTGTACTTGAACAGAGGGAGTAACATAATGAATGGGCAATGCAATGACACCAGCCAATATGTTCCCTTTGCTGTACGTATGATAAATGAACAAAGAGTAGGCCCCACCTGAGAAATGATGAGGAGGACATGATGAATGCCCAAAGTGTACTCAACAGAACAAGCACCTGAATAACGACACGCGACATGCTCCCGGCCATACCTACCCACACTCCTTGTGCTCAAGCACACACGTTCCTATCTTCACCATGTTAAATCATCTCAGAGGATTTTAATTCTTCCTGAACACTGATTTCACTGTTTTATTTCAAATGTCCACGTCCCCTCTTGAAGTCCATTAGAGCCTGAAAATCAGATAATCCATCTTCCCTGCCTGTCGCTGCTCTAGACTCAGAAGGCCTCTGAGGATGTGCTTGGAACATGAAGGTCACTGTGAAAGTTGACCACAGATGTGGACAAAAAGGAAACATGCCAGTAAGTTCTTTACTGATCTCACTTAGGTAATGGGTCATTTGGTTAGAAAAAAGGAAAAAAAGGAAGGAGATTCATCGGCAATTTAGGTGCCAAAGCAAAATTAAAATATGCTTTCATGGTAGTCTGAAGATCAATCTATAGAAAAAGGTTTTTTTATTGGAAGGGGTATATAGGACTTATAGAAAAAAGAGTCAAGGAAAGGGAAAGTAGAAACTGCACCTTTTAGAAGAGAATACCGAAAAGAAAGATACTGAATGAAAAAAGAAAGAAAGAAAGAAAGAAAGAAAAGAAAAGAAAAGAAAAGAAAAGAAAAGAAAGAAAGAAAGAAAGAAAGAAAGAAAGAAAGAAAGAAAGAAAGAAAGAAAGAAAGAAACTAACTGAATATGAAACTGGCTTTTTCAGAAAAAAGTGAGTGCCATGCTTCTTTAAAAATCATCACATACACAGCTTCAAGCTAAATGTCCTCTCATTAGGAAATGGCTGCTTAAAAAAATTAAAGAATTATAAAGAATTAAGTTGGGTTCTGGTTACATGAGGCTATAGTCATGTAGAGCCATTCATATAAAAGAGAAACTTTACATGTTAAAGCTCTGTGAAACATGATGGTGGCATTTTTGTGTATTTTTTTTTAAGACTAAGAGTCTCACTTCCTGTCTGTCTTAATTAATCATCCACGTATTTGGCTAGTATGTTTGGTAAAGGAGTGAGCACAGCTACTACGAGAGGATGAGCCAAGGCCAGAAAACTGAAAAAGAGAGAGGCTAGCGCTCTCCTCCTGAGAACTCTGGGGGAATTCGCCAAAGGTCCCTGCCCTTGAGGCGGTCATGTCAAGTGTATCCTCCCCACAGAGGCTCATAAAGACTCCTCTACAAGCAATGAACAGGGTACTAACTGTTCCCCTCGAAAGGGGTCAACGACTCTCCCATGCTTACTTAAGCTTTTGAATGGTCATCTCACTGTGTAAAAGATAGCATCACTCTCCATGAGGAAATCAAAAAGAGGAAGCTAGTAGGCAAATTGCTTAGATTACTCTGATCCTCAAAACTAACATGCTGATAAGAGAGACAGGGCTACAGACAAGTATGTTACCGATTAAAATGTCCCACCATATATTCTCTTTCAAATAACCTACCAATTAACTCAATCAAAGCAATGAGCCTCATTCATCCAAAATACTAACCTTGCTCAAATAACCAGAAATAGTTTATAATATATAATAGTTTGTATATAATGGTGATTAGTTGCATGACTAATAACGACTGCGAGGTAATATAAATTCACAACTTAGTCTTTTAAAATGAAACTAAAATTAGAAGCACTTTTATACACAATGTATTCTAATATACTATAAATTATGAATTAATGGATAAAAGATCGTTGGCCAGAATAAAAAACAGAGTATTTTCCCTAGTTCTAAGTCAATAAAAGCTTGTTTGTATATTTTTCTGTATGTTAAAACATATACAATGATTTTCTAAAAAGATAACCTACAAACCAAGATCTATGGAGACTCCCATTTACTAACAAAAAATTAGATCCTCATCTAAAGTAGATGATAGCAATGACTGACAATTTAAAAGGAACAAAATGAACAATAAGCTGCCAATTTGCAATTAATTTTCACACGTTTTCATAATGAACTAATTTCCAAGGCTGAGCTATACTCATATTTAAAGAAACTATAGGGCAGCCCGATGGCTCAGTGGTTTAGCACCGCCTTCAACTCAGGGCATGATCCTGGAGACCCTGGACTGAGTCCCACGTCGGGCTCCCTGCATGGAGCCTGCTTCTTCTCCCTCTGTGTCTGTGTCTGTGTCTCTGCCCCTCTCTCTCTCTCTCTCTCTCTCTCTCTCTCTGTGTCTCTCATGAATAAATAAATAAAATCTTTCTTTTTAAAAAAAGGAGAAACTATACAGTGGCACATAACTATGTGGCTCAGGAAACAATAAAACACATCTTAAACTTCTCTCATTTTACCCTTAAGGTAAGTCTTCAGATATATTGCAAATGTCACAGTATTATCTTAGAAGAAATCTAAACCATGCTTTAAGCTGCTTTCATATAGGAGGATGCTATGTCTTAGTTCAAACACCATTGTTCTTCACAGCTCATCTTCTCTGTGATCTGCCCGTTGGAAACAGGATTATAACAGGTTCTGCATGTGTGACCAGGAACATGGTAAATGGGAGGTGGCTCCAGAACCACAGCTGCCCATTGGCAAGTCGGGATTCTGCTTTGTTGATTCATCCTGACACCCACTATCCCTGCACAGATGCAGTGAGGCCTGTGGTGATGTGTGTGTCTGTGTGGGGGGCTCTGTTCTGATTCCAAAAAAGCAAACTCCTAACTGAATGTGACCTTTAATGATCCTCAAGCTCCCCTCTACCAGCTGGGATGTTAGATTCTCAAAGGTTGGGGCTGCACACAAAATCGGATTAAACTGGACTATGGATTTTTCCCCCCAAATCTCTTCTACATTTGCTTAAAAGAGAGGAGACTAGATTTCAGAATTAAAGATTATGGAAGCATAGGGATTAATGATCATTTTAATTTGGGGGTGGGTGTGGGATGAAGGGAAAATAATGTCAGAAGATGTAATAATAACAGAGCAAGTAGGGGGTGGAAGACACCCTGACACCACGAGGAAGAAAGAGGTGGGGACACTTAGGTTTCGGGGCTGGCACCCTACAAGCTAGACCCAGGGCAAGGGCTTGAGGGATTCTGATGCTGTGATTTAAGCTAGCTGATTTCTCCTTCTCTTTTTCTGCCTTTCCTTCTCTTAGGGAGATTATCATCTTGCTAGATACAGTAAGAGCTTCTAAAGAATAGAATGATGCTTTCCTACTAGTCTCTCCTGATTCTATAAATAAACCACTTAACAATTTTGTTCATAACATTTGCTATTCTTTGCATTCCACGGAGAAAAAAAGTATGTGCTGATCTTCATGTGTCTCATGAATTTCATTGAACGCCATGAATATTCAACCAATTTAATACCTTAAAATTTTTCTAAACAAATTTGGCATTAATTCCCTTCAAAAATGCCAATTAATCTATATAAAACAGAGACAATTACTACACATGGTTATTAATAAAACATTTAAAAATACTATAAGCTAACTGCCACAAATATGACATCATATGATAGTTTTTTTTTAAAATGAGGTAATTACAAATACTATAAAATGAGAGTCTACTATTTTAGAGAATCATAGTCTACTTACTACTTGTATGTCTCAGAACGGATATATTCAAAAACATGGGACACGCCAAGCTGGAACTGGTCAGCAATTGGGGTAACCCAGGGATTATTCTCTGCTTTGAACACTTGCTTCTGGCCAGTTAAATCCAAGTTTCCTGAAATGACAGAAGGAAAGAAGAAAAGGTGAAGTTCATTTCATCCAACACAAATCAGGCCTAAGAAGTCATACCCAGTAACTATGGTACAACCCCAAGTATCTCTTGGGTTATCTGTATTGATTTTTTAAAAATCTGTAACTTCAAGTCCTCACTGAATGAAAGCAATGTTAGCTGAAGTACCCTGGCCCAAGAAATTAGGAAGGAAGGGAAGTGGGAAGTAAACTTGGAAGGGATTTTTGCAAATGCAGCATATGGTTTATTTTTCTATGTATTTGTTACAGAGAAGAAAACAATCCAAGATTGAAAGGAATGATCTCAGAACATCCTGAAATTCTACTTGATGATGTACATCACCACTTGTCCATTCTGATCTAAATATAATACAATCAAAACCACTAATCATTAAAGTAGAACATGAGTAAAGGAGATAAGAATGCTGCCCAGGTAAAATTACTATTGCATCACTCAGTATCATAGGCACATCACAGATTCAGCCCTAAATGAATCTCATTAACATGGTAATGCTAGAAACTCACATCTATAGTGTCCTTATCAGTTGAACAATTACCTTTTTTTTAAGATTTTATTTATTAATTCATGAAACACACACACTCAGAGAGAGAGAGAGAGAGAGAGAGAGGCAGAGACACAGGCAGAGGGAGAAGCAGGCTTCATGTAGGGAGCCCGACGCGGGACTCGATCCCAGGTCTCCAAGATCACGCCCTGGGCGGAAGGCAGTGCTGAACCACTGGGCCACCAGAGCTGCCTGACCAATTACCTTTAATAAGCACTTCTTCATTTGATTCTCAGGCAATCCCCTAAAGTCAGTAATTGACATCACTTTATAGGTGAAAAAATGGAAACATGGCAAAATTAAGTAATGTCTCCAAGATTGGAAAACTTAAGATTGGGGATGTGAACCCAAGGCTCTCACTCCAAATCTCAGATTCTTTCTCCAATGTCTGGTGAAGTTATCAGGTTATACAACCTCAATCAACCGAGGATGAGTTAGGGAAGGTAGCATAAAAAAGCCAAGTGCCAAGTGCCACCCATTTGAATATCATGTTAGTAATCAGTTGCTTTCTTGTGTTTGCTTGGTATACTCAAAAGTGGAAGAAGCTGTGTATGAAAAGGCTTTCCATTGCACACTTGCCTATGCAAGAGACTAGGACAGTGCAGTCACGGAGCAGAGATGGATGCGGTTTACCTGGCAGGAGACTCACCAAAGGCCTTTCCCTAAAAGTCTACTGAGGAAGTCCTTTTGCAGACTTTCCCAATCTACAGGTCAATGCTATATAAAGAATTATTCTTCCCAAGATACATCCAAAGTACCATGTTTGTCCTGTTTTGCAACTCTACTTGCCAATTTTGTCATAACTGATAACTCAAGATAAGGAAAACCCATTCTGGAATGGAAGTATACCACAAAGCACATAATTTCCTAGCTGATCTGAGCTTCGGAAATGCACAAATATTTTTACTGGGAAGATGATGTAATTAATATTTCCTCTTAAAACAAAATAATTGAGAGTCTCAATCTGTCTTCTTTTTGTTATATGAACTTGTAACTGTTTGGGGGGGGGAGGAAGAGAAGACCAATATAAACGTAATTACAACCTAATAAAATGCTTTTAAAGAAAACAGATATTACCAAATATTATGAGTAATTCATCATGATCTTTCCAAAGCTACTTAGAATCTGTTGATGTTAAGTACAAAAATAAGCAGATAAATTTCTCTCCAAGATTATCAATATTGTCAATTTCCTCATCTTAATGGTTAAACATCATTAGTCAGATATTAAATCATTTGGTAAATTAATGGGCTTTATTCTCTAAACCATGAAAATCCCAGAGTTACACAAATTCTCTACTGAGCTGGGTATCTTACTTCAGTGTGACCCTGTAGGCACTGGGCTATTTGGTTTTTATCTTCACTTGGGGAGGGGTTTTAGCTTTCCCAGGATAAAATTGATGTCTTGTTTAAATTTCTCCGTAATTCTTATCTTCTTTTAGGAACTCATTTGCTACACTCTACGTCCTTGTCCTCTCTTCCTATCATTCTCTCAATTTTTTTTCCAATTTCTACTTTTCCTAAAAACGAATTTAATGTCAGAAAAAAAAGTCTTCCATTTAAAAATAATTCCAGGGATCCCTGGGTGGCGCAGCGGTTTGGCGCCTGCCTTTGGCCCAGGGCGCGATCCTGGAGGCCCGGGATCGAGTCCCACGTCGGGCTCTCGGTGCATGGAGCCTGCTTCTCCCTCTGCCTGTGTCTCTGCCTCTCTCTCTCTCTCTGACTATCATAAATAAATAAAAAAAAAATTAAAAAAAAAAATAAAAATAATTCCAAACAACAATTCTGTATTTCTTAAGTGTTCTGTTCTAAATGCAGTGAATACATTGTCCACTGTTCTTAGGAAGCATGGTCATTGAGGGAAGGGCCCACATGCGAGGCAACAGAAACCGTGGTGTAACCATTCACTAAGTTGAGGCTGGACATACCAGAGGTGATCACCTCTCTTAAAGTATTCACCCAATAAACAAATTATGCTTACATATCTTCCTGCCTTTAACACCTGCCCACTGACATCAGCATGAAATCAACTACAAAAAATAAATCATGGAAAAATCTATATTCCAAAGTGGCTAAGAAAGAAAGAGAAGCCATGAAAAGCATGAATTGCATAGGGAAGCAGAGCAATTCTTAAGCAAAGGGATCTACATTAGTGGCTACCCTGACCTAAAGATCTTTCCTCCCTGTTCCCCAAAATTGTTTATCCTACTGAAAAATAGAGTCTGAATTCCTAACGGGTACAATTCAACCTGATGAACATCTAGGACTCCCCATCATTTATCCATTACCACAAGTTAACTCAAGTGGATTGCTTTCCTTTTAACATTTGGTTCAGACTGGGATCACAGGGATACTATACTGTGTGGAAGAAGAGTGAGAGAAGGAGAGGAGGCAACAAGAAGTACAGAGCACTTGTCACTGTGCTGTATTTTCAGGGCCCTGGGGTCACTGTGAGAGCACCCTGACCAGGGTAAGGCTCTAGGAAGGACGGCCTGCCCCTCCAGGCAATCCTCAGCTATTCCAAATTTGCTCAGGGATGAATGATGTCCATGGGATGGTTAAGAGAAAGAGGACTACCTTCCTGGGGTGTATCAGGGGTGGAAGGAAGCTCCCTTCCACCAACATCCAAAGGTTGCCCCAAGAATCAAAAGCAGAGGTATACTCCGAGGAAAGCACATTAGAATGGATCATCTTTGAACCTGAGGTCCGGGTACATATTTCTGTGGGAAAGAAGAGCCTACTTCCTACCACCTACAATGTACATACCCACTTGGGAATGTACGTGGCCTCTTGTTAACTTATTAACAGCCTCTCACGAAGCCTGCAGCCTTCTTAGAGGTAATCCTCTGAAAATCACGTACTAAAGTTCTTCGCTCCCTGACTGCCACACATGGAAGACAGAGCTAGGGGAATAATGCCAAGAAAGGTCAGCCGTGTTCTCTGGGCCCTTTTGTCTGAAGCCTCTAACCCCTCGGAGATCTGTCAATCCCTAGCAATGTCTCTATTTAAGCACTGTCAATGGAGACAGAAGAGGCAGAGGGGACTGCTAACAACGTCTGCTAAGTAAGAGACCTGGATCCGGCTAGATACATACCCTTCGAGGAAAAGGAGTGTGAAAGTTGGGGTACACACAAAGGACCATGGGACAGATCTTCACGAGCATTTCCGTTGCTCTCACTTCACACTCACCTGTGCATTCTAGCTAAAGGGGGAGGGGGCAGGGTGCCGGGTTGCCCTCGCCCAGCACCGTCTGTTTATTTTGGTACAGAGCAATGCCAGTCGATCAGGGTCCCAGGTCTTCAAAGGGCTACCAGGACTGGGAGGCCAGTAGAGAAGAGCGATCCAGGTACCCTGAGGGGGAGAAAACCCCCCCAAACGATAGCTCTGTGGTCAACGCCGTGCTTTCTTTGTAACAAAGAACTGTGAAAACCATGTGTAACGTCCGTGGACAGCCTTAAAGCTGGCAGCTCTTCGCAGGTGACGGAGATGGAAATCACACAAGCCAAGCCGGGCAATGACTCTTCAGAGTGATAACCGGGCTTGGCGGAATAGAACATGCTTCTTTTGTTTTTGCACCTAATGTCACCGGCGGAGAATACAGTCCTCCTTTGCCTGGCTGCGGTGGCTGGAACCCTCCCGGCTGGCGATTTGTCTCCGGCCCGGGATGCAGCAGTTTCAGAAGGGGGTTAATATAATTAGAGTAAAGCTGGGCCATTATACTGTGTGAAAAGATGACACCCGTCTCATCTTGGCCCAGCAACAAGTTACCCTTGCCTCAGCAGAGCTCATCTGTCAGCTGTCGGAGGTAGGTTCCCTCTCCAGTAATAACATGCAGGAAGCATCTCACCCCGCTGTCAGGATGCAATCCCCCGAACTGCCGCACGCTTCGGTGCGTCTAGTTAGGTGCCCTCACCCGGCTCCTTTATTAGAAGCCTGAGCGGCGCTCCGGTGGTGTTCTAACAAGGAGCAGGCAGCAGGATTAAGCGCTGTGACAAAGAGGATCTAATAAGCTAGAAAGTGGTGCATCTACAGACACGCTGGCTGGCTCCCAGACATAGATTCACGCTGCTCCCTCTTCAGTGGGAAGGCCCAGGCCACAGGGGAAGCCAGCCAGCGCCGTGATTAGCGGTGACCCCCTGACCGATGTGGCTATGAAGATCATATATCACTCAGGGCCGCATTCTGCAATTGCAAATTGGATTTTCCATTTTATTACCTGCAAAAAGGACCACATATGCTTCTTTCCAGAGCCTCTAGTACGGTAAGCTTTGCCGTGCAACCATAATTTTGTAAACACTAAATCACGCAAAAACAATTGTCCTTGCTGGTTATAAATGGGATGGAAGGCAATAGGCAATTGCGGCTCCATTAATAAACATGGTCATTTTCACTTACGGAAATCGGTTATTTTCATAATCACCTTG